ATGAATTACCAATGGAAAACAATTTCAGGACTAATTTAGTAATAGAAAATATGTTCTATCGTTAAATTAGCGATAAATTACCAATGGAATGCACAGTTCTGTCACTAAATCAACAACAAATTACCAATGAAACTTATGTTTGTCATTAAATTAGCGACAGATTTACCAACAGATTAGTGGTTTGCCACTAAATTAGCAATGGATTTATCGACAAATAGGTGGTCTGTCATTAAATTAGCGACAGATTTATCGACGGACAACAATTCGTCGCTAAAGTAGCGATGGATTTACTGATACATTGGTGGTCTATCACTAATTTAGCAATAGATTTGCCGACGGATTGGTGGTCCATCGCTAATTTACCAATGGATTAGAGGTTTGTCACTTATTTAGCTATGGATTTATCGACGGATTTGTGGTATGTTGCTAATTTAGTGATGGATGTACCAATGGATTGGTGGTCCATCATTAAATTAGTGATGGATTGGTGCTCAGTTGCTAATTTAGCAATCGATTATCGACATAATTTATGTCTATCACTGAATCAGTGACAGATTACCAATAGACTAGTGTTCCATCGCTGAATCAATGACAAATTATCGACAAAGAGTTGTCTGTTATTGAATTAGTGACAGATTACCAACTAAAAGTTTGTCCATCGCTAAATCGGTGACAAATTACCAACGAAAAGTTTGTCCGTTGTTGAATCAGCGACGGATTACTGTTAGATTGGTGCCTGCCGATGGATTGGTAATTAGTTGGTATATCTATCATTGATTTGTCGCTAATCTATGGGTAATTAGTGATGGACGATTTCATCACTGATTTTCTGTCAATGAAGCCTTGTTTTCTTGGAGTGTAATACATAATGTTAGAAAAACAATTCTTTTCTCCCCTTATTTATTTGTTTACTTTTGGCTACATAAGAGTATTAACATATAAATTATTTTGGGGAACAGTGTATCTTTGAACATGTTTGACACACTGATAAGACATAATAAGATGAATTTATCCTATCTTATTCACATGTATCTCTTATTTGGTGAATGTAAAGGAAGTTGGATAAAAACTTTAGACAACCCTTTATTTGGTTATGAGTTGCTTTGCCTGTTGTTAGAGTGCAAAAAGCGATTTGGCTTTGGTTGCTTGCTATTTTGCCACTATTAGAGAACAAAGAGAGATTTGGCTAGCTATGACCTGTTGTTTCATCATCTGGCTGACTTGCCTTAAGGATATTTTAGAAATTAGAATTTTTATTCAGCATTTTTATCATTTTTGAAGTGTAACCCTCCCAAACAAAGAATAAAAATAAGAATATTGTGTGGATAAGATAATTATCAAAGAGTTACCCTTATCCACTTTATTTTCTTTTGACTTGTTTTCAATTACTTTGATTTTTTTTACTTCTCTAGATGCTTCCTCCATAGTGGCGTCCCACCAGTAGTAAACTTCCCACATATTATTATCCAAACTATATAAATAAATAAGACTCTTTTATATTGATATTAATTTCTATATTTATCAAAATAATTTTTATTTTTAAAAATTATTTACTAAAATAAGTTGGATTTTGGGCGTTGAGAAGTTAGTACAAAAAGTTCCATTGAACTGACTTTCAAAGAAAAGTTAGTTTTACCCAGTTGGTTTGACACGTAGTGAAAAGAGAGAATGAGTCCAAAATATTTTTTATCTTTAAATTTATATTTTCTTTTTTTGGCAACCAAGCAAAAAAAAATGTCTTTTTCTTGTTCTAGACAACCAAAAGTCACGATAATCCAAGACTATTCTTTCACAATGAAATGTCCAAAAAACCAAGTACTTCTAGAAGCCAAACATCCAAAAACCTAAATTGTTCAACTTCAACTAGTTGTGCAAGTGATAATATATATTTATATTTGTTTTTAAATTTTTATAAATTCTCGATATATGTTTTAATATTATAACTTGATTACATCCATTCTAAAATGATTTTGAAATTTGAACACGAAGAAACTTCGGAAAACATATTTTTGATAGTGTTTTGAAAAATTATCGAATTCTTAGATTCTAAGTGAATCTTGAGACAAGCACTTTTGAACTGTAATGTGTAATTATAGAATTATATTTATGTTTTGAAAGTATGATTTTAATGATGAGAATACATTTTTGTTTTTTGAACGAAATTGCAACCAAACTTTGATATGGATAATGCACATATCAGTGTAGAACTTGACTGAACACTTCAGCTAGTGGTAATGTTAGCTTAAGTGCACCTTGTTTTAGATTGCTTAGCTAGTAGGGGTTGCTACTCAGTATGTTTTGGCCAACATGGTTAGTTTTGGACTCAATTAACAGGGTATGTTGTTAGCTTCTTGTATTGGTGCATGGTTGTTTTCATATAGTTTTGGATTGAGACTTCCATTACAATTTTGATATATGACTTTGAAACATGTGTTAGTTAATATTTGAACATGATTTGAAACATATTTTTGATGAAATATGTCTTAAAAAACATTTTCCATTTTTATATATTTTGGTTTGAAACAATATTATATTTATGTATGAAATTTGTATAAACATTTTGTTAAAAAACTCGTGTTTGAGCTTGTCTTGTTCTTATTATAGACATATATTTTTATTTACTAGGTCGTAAAACTCATGCTTCACTTTTGTTTTTTAAATTTTAGGTTGCTAGAGAAGAGACTTCTGATTATCCATTGTAGGGGTGTTTAACAAACCGATCCAAACCAATTAAACCGCATAAACCGAACCAAACCGTAGAGTGTGGTTTGGTTTGAATTTAATATTTGGACAAACCGTTTAAACCGAACCAAACCATATAATTTATATATATACAAAATTAAAAATCCTATTTTTATATATATAGTATATTTTTATTATTTGACTGTATATTTCTTTTTTTTGTTATCTTTTATATTTATATTCATTCTAATAATTGATTAATTTTTATTTTTTAGAGTATAATTTCTATTAGTAATAGTAAAATTCTGTAAAATGGTATAAATATATTTCTTATAAAATGATAACTACTATAGTTAATTAATAAATAATGAATTTATTAAGTTAAACATGTTGGGAAGAAAATGGACAACCAATTTTTAGAAAAACTCTATTAAAGTTTTTATAAAAATAGTTAATTTAACTCATTTTATTTTATAAATTATAAACCATGGTTTGAAACCGAACCAAACCGCAAACCGTGGTTTGGTTTAGTTTATAAAAATTTCAAATTGTAAAATATGATTTTGTTTGAATTTAAGTACTAAACCAAATCATGAACACCCCTAATCCATTGTTAGTGTTATTCATTTCATTTACTCCAACACTACAAGGTGCTTCGAGTTATTTTACAAACTGTCTTTAGTGGATCTTTGCACGAATATTTCTTTTTTATTTTATTGCTTACTTTTTTGTTCTTTTTCTATGTATTAAAATTGATGGAAATACGGTTTCAATAATAAAATTGTAAAGTACATACATCAAATACACAACAAATAAAGAAAGTCATGACATGGTTGTAGATATTTAAAACTAATCCTATTACTATTTAGATACATCTCATGTGTTAGAACAGTGCTCCATCTTCTGGTATAGCAATTCCAGCTTTGTGCTAGTCATAATTCCCAATATTTTGATCCAGACCAGGACTGAGATAGAGCACGAGTAGCACAAAAGAACCATATTAGAGATTCTCCAAGAAAGGAAGTTGTATTCAAAGTTTAGTAAGTGTCGGTTTTGGCTAGATCATTTTGTATTTTTGGGCCATGTCGCATCAGTAAGAGGAATCTTGGTGGATCCTGGAAAAGTGGCATATATAATAATGAAATGGGATAGGTTGACCACAATAACAGATATACGAAGCTTTTTGGGGGGCCCAGTTACTATGGGACATCCATTGAAAGACTTTTTAAGATCACTAGACCTTTAATTAATGTGATGTAGAAAAATGTGAAAATTCATTGGACGGAAAAATGTGAAAACTGCTTGAGAAGCTCAAATGACACCTTACCTCAACTCATATGAAATTTCATGGGCCAGAAGGGTTTGCAGTTTATACAGATGTTTCAAGGAATGAGCTAAGCTGTGTGTCGTGAAGTAAAACAAAAAGATCATCACCGACAATTTATTTTCTTAAAGTTTTTTAATATCTAAATTTATGATTCCTAATAAAACCAATTCTAAAAGCATTTTATAACAATCAAATTTAGGACTATTTTAAAACCCAATTATAAGGTGTTAAATCTCAAGAACTTTGAATTTTTATAAGCCCAAGAGTCCAAGACTTTTGGGTGTAGAACACTTAAATTTATTAAAATACTCAATTCTATGTGCGTGGGTTTATTCTTTTATTTCTTTTCCCCTTTCTTTTTGAGGATTTGGAAATTCTGCATATAATTGTGTTTAATGTGTACTTATATACCTTTTTATTTTAATTAATAACAACCAAGTGAATTACAATAATCTAATAATCTCTACGAGTCTAGGAAAATATAATAATGGCTATTTATGTATGTCAAAAAATATCAGTAATTCTTCACCCATTTTCATATGATACATGATAATAGTATTTAGAGAAAACTTTGATATTTGAAAGTTAAATAAACAAAGATAATGCAGTAGACTGTTTTAAGAACCCATTAAAAAAAAAAACTTTTTTAAAGTTCAACAGAGAAGTAAAGAATAAATCAACTTAGATCCAGCCCAACCTAGTCCAACCCAGTTTGTTTCATAATGGCTGGCTTGAGATGGCTCAGGTAGTTTTTGGCAACAAGGATTTGGTGGACACAATCCAATCAGTATTTCTATGGATGAATGTCACCAACAATCCATTCTATACAAGTACTGTCATCTTCATTTTTATTTTTTGCATCATAAGAATAAAGAATACTTGAAAATTATTATAAAAAATTTAAAATATTAAATTAAATTATAGGAATAAGAAGAGTCCATCAAACACGCATCAATACCTGGTGAATGAGAAGTTCCGACATATATTTAACTTAATAAATTAGATTCTCTTCAATTTCATCCACAAAAGTCCTGAGATTTTTGTTAGAAGATCCACCATCCTTTACAGCTTCCCCTGCCAAATCCTTCCATTTCTTGGCATTGATCCTAATTTTTTTACCAATCTCACCATCTCCCATGACCAATTCTATGCACCTCTTGATTTCTTCTGCTTCAACTAGGCAGTCTTCATTCGGTGTTGCCCTCACCCCGGACTCAAACGTATCTTCTATGAGCTTTGCATTGAAGGTTGGTCTCCAAATTGTGGTATGCCCACCGTAGGAACGCCTGAAACCAAACTCTCCAACGTAGAATTCCAACCACAATGAGTCACAAAGCAACCTAAAGAAGGGTGTGAAAGAACCTCCACTTGGGAACACCACGGCACTATCAGACCTTGCTTTTCTAATTCATCTCTGTTACTGAGTTTGTCTTCTTGGTTTTCGCCAAAGTCTAGGGCTCTTATCACCCACAAGAATGGTCGATCGCTCTCCATAAGCCCACGAGCAATCTCCTCCATTTGTTGCTTTGACAACGTAACAACGCTTCCAAATGATACGTAGGCAACCGATGATTGAGGCTTGGAGTCCAACCACTCCATATAATCCATTGACTTCTGTGTAAGGTTGCCTCCAAAACTAGTATTAGGGGGACCACTTCCATCCAAGAATGCTGATGGAACCAATGGTCCTATAGAAAGCAAGTTGTACTTCCCAATGGCCCTTAAGGCCTCTGTTTCTAATGCATCATAGGTGTTTACAAGCACAATTGGCTTGGCTGGTTCATCGAGTGCATCTAACTGCTCCTTGACATCTGCTACTAAGAAACTAAATGCATTTGAAGGGAGTAAAAAAGTGGGAAGGTCACGACAAGTGATCGTCGGGAGCCCCGGCAACTGAATAGAGCATGAGGGGTCACTGCAAATCTTTCTAATGGCGTCACCGTAGTCATTAAAATAATGAAAGTACATGTTAAAAACAGAGGCTGGTTGAGTCCACAAGGCAGCGGACGGTACGTTGAAGCCACGCGCCACTTCAGCTGCCCAACTTAGACCCATGGTATAGACAAGACCTGTTACTGGGTAGCCTTCCTCTGTGCTGGTGGTGAACAGATGAGACAGGACTTTGGAACTACGATTCTTGAACTCAGACCTGAAACGGGCTAGATCATCACTCAATTTGACTCCATCATCGTAGCCGTCAGAGAAGGATATGGTTAAGCCTTGTGGTATAGAATGGGATTTGGCTATGTGACGGTGGGCAGAGACGCTGGTAAGGAAGGTCACCTTGACTCCCACCTTCACCAGGTTCTTGGCAAGTTGGGGTGAAGGGTTCCTAGAGCCTAGGGCTGAATATGTTAGGAGGCAACGTGACGAGGCACCATGGCTGCTGCTCGAGGAAAGAACAGAATATGGATGTCTTATTGAAAGAAATAGCAGGCGATGGAGACCAGGGAAAACTGTGAACAATGATGTGTAATATATTCGTGTGATAAGTTAAACGCACAAGTTCAGTCCTGTCTTATGGGAAAAATTTTATTGACCGTGACATGGCAGGCGGATTTTAAAACCAATTTGGGAAAATATTTCTTATTAATTTCAACAACTTGCAGTGTTTTTTTTTTTTTTTTTTGGCCGGTGGACCTAACTTTGAGATATTTTATTTTATCTTCATCCATAAATCAAAAAAAATTTTGATTAATTTAAAGGGTCCAACGAATGTCGGCATCCAATTACAACACTATAACGGTATTCAAATGAAACCACAACATTGAACTCGAAGGGTGTGTGAAGATTAGTGGTCATCCAACCAGCAACTGATTTTTCATTTCATTAAATACGGAAGAAGTTAAAATAGGGTAGTAACATTTTTAGTGATCATAATATGCAAGTGGAGAGACTATTACTATTTTAATTATACTTGTGGTTATCCACAAAAAATTATTTAAGCAAAACTAAATATAGATAATACAAAATAGAAATAGTAACGGATTTGAAATTTTTATAGATCTTTTTTTTTTTTTTTTACATACGGAGACAAGAGTGGGTTGTGGTATCTAACCCGTACCCATACCTTTATAATATATTATATATTAAAAAATATATTAAATTTATAAAATTTTACTATACTACCCTTCTTATTGTAGATTTTTGAAGGCTAGCTTTCATGTAATACTTTCCTTTTCTTATTTGTTTCTTATTCATGTTATAAATAGTAGCATTTTTTTAATATCATATAGGAATTTAAAAAAATAAATTATATTCAAATGAATATACATATTTGAGGATGGGAACAAGAACGGAGGGGACTATCTAATGGGTACGTGAATTGGGATTAAAATTAATATTTTTCTTAGTACAGAAATAGGTACGAAGACGAGTTCCATTATTGGACGAGGGAATAGGTATAATGGTACCACCCCATACCAGCCCTGTTGTCATTCTTACTGGCTAAGGACAACAGTTATACACACATCATCATAGGTCCTTTTTCTTGTACTCAAAGACATCTATAATAAACATATGTTCCAAGTTCTTATAATCCCTATTTTGAATCACTTTGAAATAAATACAGAAAGATAAATAAAATGTGAAGAAAGAAATTTAAGTATACAAAACATTCTAGAAAAATTATATATAGGAATTCATAGGACAAAAGTAATTAAAAAAAAAATATTGCCCTAGTTTCCTCTTATGCTTTGTTTTAAGGAGGAGTATGAATAGGAGAAAGGGGATGAAAATAAGAGCAAAGCTTAAGGAGGTTGAAATTGGCTGTGGGGCTCACCTGCATGAATAAATAATGCTGGATTAAATTTTGGTGACAAAATTATCATTTCCAGCTCATCCTTTGTAATACCCCAAATTCGGAGTTAATTAAGAAATTTAAAATTTTCAATGGTTTAATTTAAAGGAATAGAAAGTTTCGAGGCTTATTTAAAAAAATAAGAGACAATTGAATTAATTTAAACTCTACCGGGCCGAATGGAAATAATTAGAAAATGTAAGAGATCAAATTGCAAGAATGGGGATTGAATTGCAAAATCCCAAAATTGGGATCCTGTCCATCATCCCCTTTCCTTTCTTGAAAACCCTAATCACACAATCAAATCAAATTACATAGATTTAAAGTGATTTAGTCCCTAATTGAATGCACAATCATATCGATATAAAACTTTAGAACAAAAGCCCTAACCCAATTTTACCATTCTACCTCTAGTTTTGTGAAAAATTGCCAAAGAGTAGTCACCATTACTCCTGTCTTCTTTGTTGTCATTACAGCCTTCACCACTGTCCTTTGGCTTGATTTTTTTTTTTCAGTCAATGAAGCCAAGCAGTTGTGATGATCTTTTTCGATCTTTAATATTGCCTTAGTGGACTGAAACACTAACTTTATTGTGAGCCTCAATCGATGACAACGGCACAGAGGAGTGCAATCCAACCAAATACAAATAGGGTAAGGGAAATGGTTGGATCCGGCTTTGATTCCTTAGATCTGGGTTTGGTTTAGAGTATGGGTTACGGGTTTTAACTTGGGCTTAGAACCATTGGGCCAAGCTTTGACTGAATTGGGTTTTAGGCCTTGTACCAAGGTTTGGGCCTGGGTTGAGTTGGTTCTAGATTAAGTCAACTGGTACCGAGTTTTAGATTGTAGTATTAGATACAATTTTTAAATCTAAAATTCTAAACCAATTTAGTGGATCATCAGATAGTTTAGGGGTGTTAATTGCTAGTTTAGGGATTAGTCAACTGGTTCATGGCCTTAAATGATCGATTCAATATTTTTCTTTCCTGATTCAATACTTTGATTGATCGGCTGATAACCTAGTAAAGACAGTTCAGTGCTAAATCAACCGGATCAGTGCTTGTTGGGCTAGTTCAATATATACATACGCATGGGTTCGGTGTTCATAAGGCCAATTCACTACTTAACAAGGCCCCACCTCTCTCTCTCTCTCTCTCTCTATATATATATTATATATAATATAAGCCTTCCCTTTTTCATAATAATAAGGTAAGCATCCAACTCTCAATTCAATGCCTTCTTGGCCAGTTCAGTGGGTATTAGCCTTGATTCAGTGTTCTGATAGTTTGTTCGAGACTTTATCAAACCGATTCATAAATTAGTCAGCCTAGTTTAGGGTATTAAAGGGCCAGTTCAGCATTGTAATAACCAATTCATGGTTGGTTTTAGCGTTATAATTACCGAGTCATGGCCAGTTTAATGCTTTAATAAATGGTTTAGAGGTTAAACAAATCTGTTTTATGCTTTATAAGATTGGTTCAAGACTTTAATATTTGGTTCGTGACTTGACTTGATTGGTTCAGAATTCTAATGAATTTGATAAGGATTTGGGCATGAAAACCAAGACTTGTACTTGAATTTAAATTACAAATATATAGCTTAGATCTATGAATATATGAGAATCCTAAAATAGATATTTTTATTATCTTTGTGATTTTAGATTCTTCTGAAGATTCACTTTAAACCGTATCATCAAAGACTGAACTATTTGACTCTATTGATTTTGTAATTAATAATGTGCATTTATGAGTGTTTGCAGTTTTTTGTATCTGTTATAAATCTTAGTTTTATTTGACACACTTGGTTATTAAAAACTAAATTAAATTTTAATATAAATGCATAGCAAGGGACATGTATGTAATTAAATAAATTTATTTTGAAAAAATGTTAGTTGTTGTTTTCTCAACACTGTTTACACCTCTAACTAAAAATCTCTATTTTTGTTGGGACTATTTCTGATTATTACTGTAAACTATTTTAAGAGAGTTTTGGATTTATAGAATATTGTAACTAATAAGAGTAGGCACTAGACTGAGTGTATTTTAAACTGTATCCCCAACTAATAGAAATGATGCTACATTATTATGTTAGACTGACATGATTGTATTGTATATTTATATACTAGCAGACTAAGGAATTGTCGAAACTTCTGATCTTGTACTGTTCGTACTCTAGATCACAAACTCTCTAATGTCTCGATAACTGTAAATTTACTATTTTATTTTAAAGTTATCTATTAAATATTGTGTATACTTATCCCTTATATTCATAGATGTACGTTATTATTTATTAGGTGTATCAACTTTACCTCTTATCATATTTACATTCGGAGTTTGATATTCCTTCAAATTCTCCTATTTAAGAGGAGTTATTGTTCCTACTATATTTCTTACTATTTGTAGATGTTAATACGGTTTTTTTTTTTTCTAATTTCTATTAGATTTTTGAGATTTTCATAGATAAACTCTATTAACTACAAATAGATTTTCTGCTAATGTGTTGATGAGTTATTGAGATTTCAACTATATTTTGTTTCAAATTTTTATTTAATATAAAATACTTGTTATGCTATTATTTTATTACAATTAGAGATACAAGATTATTCATAAGCTTGTTAGGTTATATTTCATTCTAATTTTAGTGTCAATCACATATTCATCCATTGAATCTTTTCACTCTTCTACTTACCCCTTAGTTTCCCTGTTTCCCTCCTCATCTCTGTTTCTTCTTTCCATTCTGCATTTCCCCAAAGACTGATTCTCGGCATGTCTCTCCTGTTAAAACTGAGTTGCAGTTGACTTTGATTTTGGGTAAATGTTTCTCTTTTACTTTATACATAGCTTTTGTATTCTCTTTCTATTTACTATAATTGAGGGAAGAAACAGTTTCAATAATAAAATAATAAAGCATACATCACATGCATAGCACATAAAAAAAAGTGATGACACGAATGTAGATGTCTAAAACTATTTTTTAAATACATCTCATACATCACATGCGTAGCAAATAAAGAAAGCCATGATACGATTGGAGATATCTAAAACGAATCCTATTATTTTTAAATAAATCTCATATGTCACGGTGGTGCTTCATCCTCTAGCATATAAAGTCCAACTTTCCCTTTGTTTTTAAAATTCTTCTTATACATATAAAATCATGAGAAATTTCAATAATAACTCGATGGAGTGCATAACTTGGAGAGAGAATTTTACAATCAGAGTTAGACGTGAAATGTTTAGCATGCAGGCCTTATTTTAAACCAAAAGCACATAATTTACAACCAGTCCTATTAAACCGATTACATTACACTATGGTCAATAATCAAATTAAATGAAAAAATTAATATTCATAATTTTAAAATATCTTTTAAATTTCATTTGAATAATCATTAGATCTTATCTAACAAATGAATTTATGATTTAAAAATAAATTGGTGTTATAAAGTTTTTCTCCCAAAATTCCACTTCAATTGGGCCTTTCAATCTCAGTGAAAAATAATCGAGTAATCAAATAAGTGATTTATGCAAATAATATTATTTTATTTTATTTTATTAAATTAAAGCAAATGCAATCAAACCTTTTAAACATGTTAAAAGATAAAATCAATTAACTAATTAATTGATATAAGAGAAACTTAATTCTTAATTTTATATAATTAAATCAAATTAAGTTTCTATAATCATTAGTTAATAATTTATTTGACTACTTAATTAATTTTCATAAATAAAGTTAGCTTGATCTTATTAAAT